CACTAACATGCATAACCTTACGTCGAGTCAACTCAAATCTTACAAAGAGAGAACTGCAATGTTACTTACCAATAGGGATACAAATTGATGTATGTTAAAGTATCCACTGGCCCTAGCTGTCTTTGGGGATTTTAGTTCGGAGGGTACACCAGTTAGGTTACCTATTTTGCATGCCTACTTTCCAACACCACTTCTGACCTGATGCTGATATTTCTTTTTCCACGCATGTACGAAGGTGTATCGCCAATATCTGCAAGCTTCAGGGACGACGGCACCTTGCCCAAACCGGCGAACTGGACCGGCGGATGCCAACAGGGCTACTCCGGCTGCAACAAGTAACTACCAATATCATCGGACGCAGCTCACTCTGTCCATATTTATATTTCACGATTGAACTTTGACCAACAATATCGTCACATGTCATGCAAATTATACCGTCGGAAACTATGTTTCCAATCCATTGTACAAACTTTTGTAAATAGATAATCCACACTTGGTCGCTAGCGTCATACAAATACGGATAGAGGAAGTAGCTAGCTTTAATTGCTGAAAAAAGGAAAACCTAGCATTCCACTGACACAGTGCGCACACATGCAGCAAGCTGATCGGCGCGAGGGTTTTCAATGAGGGCATCAAGTTACTGAGCGACACCGGGCTAAACGACACCGAGGTGAACTCGCCATGGGACTACGAGGGGCACGGCTCACACACGCTGTCTACGGCTGGCGGAGGCTTTGTGCCCAATGTCGGCGCCTTGGGTCATGGGATGGGCACGACAAAGGGTGGCTCGCCGCGGGCGCATGTGGCCTCATACAAGGCGTGCTTCAAGGAAGGGTGCTCCAGCCTGGACATCCTTAGGGCCATACTCACAGCGGTGGAGGACGGAGTGCATGTGCTCTCGCTCTCCGTCGGCTCCCACGCCTCCGACTATGCCACCGACACCATTGCGATAGGAACGGCCTATGCTGTCACCCAGTTGGTCGTCGTCGTCGCGGCAGGTGGCAATGATGGCCCCCCGGCAGGCTCGATCAGCAATGTGGCTCCGTGGATGCTCACCGTGGGCGCGAGCACCATGGATAGAATCTTCCCCGCCGATGTCGTCATCGGTGCCAAGACTATCACGGTAATTAATTTGCTTTTCCTTGATGTGACAACAAAAACCTATATGTATCTGGTATGTACTACCTCCATTGTGGTTTGAAAGGCCCAAGCGTATCCCTAGCTAGGTCGACAATTTAGTGAATGTAATATGAGTTTATATCACAAAAGTTGTACCACACTAAATACTTCAAATGTTATATTTTTCTAGTGATGTAAACTTTCGTGATATACAATTTGCATTACATTGATTGAATTTGGCTATCTAAGGATACGCGTAGGCCTTTTAAACCGAAAAAAGGGAGTATGAATTGAATGTTGATGCCTGAAATTGATTAATTTGCAGGGACAAAGTCTATCAAGCAGCACCGACCAGCCATATGCGATGATCAGCGGGGAGAAGGCCAATGCTGCAGGCCAATCTGCCGCCAACTCGTAAGATCATTTATCTAGAAAGTCAACTGCAAAGATCTCGTTGGGATATTAACTACTTCCTCCGTTCGGAAATACTTGTCTTAAAAATGGTTGTATCTAGACTTGTTACAACCATTTTTAAGACAAGTATTTCCGAACGGAGGGAGTAGCTTAAAAAAAACAACTATCGAGGCATTTCTAGTACCACCAATTGTTGGTAAGATGAGGACGCATGTTGCTTGCAGGTCGTTGTGCATGCCTGGCTCCTTGGACCCTGCCAAGGTGAGGGGGAAGATAGTGGTGTGCACCAGAGGATCCAACGGCCGAGTGGCCAAGGGGGAGGTGGTGAAGGACGCCGGCGGCGTCGGCATGGTCCTCTGCAACGCCGCCGCCAGCGGGGACGACGTCAGCGCCGACCCGCACATAATCCCGGCGGCTCATTGCTCCTACTCCCAGTGCATAGACATCTTCAAGTACCTCCAGTCTGATGCGTAAGCTGATCAATGTCATCCTTAATTGGTTTCATATATAGTAGAGTGGTGCATCTTGTTTATTTCATTAATCCGTCACCGATCAATCCTTTGAGCAGATCACCGGTGGGTGAGATCAAGACGAGGGACGCAGAGGTGGGTGTGAAGCCATCGCCGGTGATGGCAGCCTTCTCATCCCGTGGGCCCAACACCATCACCCCTCGGATCCTCAAGCCCGACATCATCGCGCCAGGCGTGAACGTGATCGCCGCGTACAGCCAGGAGGTCTCGCCGACGGGCCTGGCTTCCGACAGCCGCCGTGTCGCCTACATGGTAGAGTCCGTCACCTCCATGTCGTGTCCGCACGTGGCCGGCATCGCCGGCCTGCTCAGGGCGAAGCACCCGAAATGGAACCCAAACATGGTCTATTCCGCCATCATGACCACCGGTACGCAATTCCGCCAACATTTCACACGACACAAAATCCCATGTGCTTAAGTAATAACTGTTTTTTTTGTACAGCCAACAGGGGAGGCAACGACGGTGTCGGGGTCCGGGATGAGACGAGCAGGGCCGCCACGCCGTTCAGCTACGGCTCGGGCCACATGAACCCGGCCAGGGCCCTGGACCCGGGCCTGGTGTACGACACCACGACGCACGACTACCTCAACTTCATCTGCTCCATGAGGCCCACCAACACCCAGGGCCTCCTCCCGGTCTCCCTCCCGCTCCCGCTCGAGGAACTTTGGACCGTGCTCAGCTGTGTGTTCCGTGGCACCGACTCCAACCCGTTCAAGTGCAGCAAGGACGACAACCACCCCAAGGACCTCAACTATCCGTCCATCTCCGCGCCCTGCCTGCCCTCCTCTGGCAGCTTCACCGTGAAGCGTAGGGTGAGGAATGTGGGCGGCGGGGCGGCGTCGTACACCGTCAGCATCACGCAGCCACCCGGGGTGATGGTCACTGTGAACCCCAGCACGCTGAGCTTTGACGGTGAGAATCCAGAGGAGGAGAAACATTTCAAGGTGACGTTTCAAGTCCACGACCCCGTCGAGGCTGCCAACCACGTGTTCGGCGGCATCGAGTGGTCGGACGGGAAGAATCATCACGTTTGGAGCCCCATCGTGGCCACCACCAAATGCGGCTAGAGTTCGGAGTCGATCGGTACCAGCAATAAATCGAGGGATCACCTATTTAACACATGCACATGTTTGTATCATTGTATGCTACTCAGGTTATGTGATTGACAAAACAGAGTGCCCTAGGAATATGGCACGACCAACCATGTTTCGCTAATACAAAGATATATAAATGCTTGTGAGAGTTCAAGCTCTCATTTATTTTGGGAGAAGTTAACGCGCTATCCTAAGTTTTGTGTTTTGCGGTGGTGGGGTGGGGTGTGCGTCGTGTTCAAAAGAGCAAAAGAAAGAAAAAACTGACAGTTCTAAATTTTGTGTAGGTTTAAAATCTCAAAAGTTCAAATGTTCGAAAGTTGAAAAATCTTGGAAGTTCAAACTTGGAACTTTGAAGGCTCGAAATTTTTCAAAAATTTGTAATTGTGTAAATTTCGTTCTGAAATTTGTCGAAAGTTTGAAAACTTAAAATTTTCAATGCAGAATGAACGAACGATGGAACTTGACAGTAGGTGGGCCGGCCCAATGGGCCAAATAGAGATTGAATGGTGTGCTCTCCAGTGGTGCTATTCCCTTATCATCAGCATCCCACACTCGCTCCATCGTCGAAGGGATAACGTCCATTCCATCCTCGCGCGCGCGGCTGCTCCGGGTCCGGCCATGGCGTCCACCTCCTCCTCCCTCGGCGCCATCCTCCAGCGCTTCCCGCTCCTCGCGCCCCGCCCCACCTCCCGCCGCGCGCCCACCGCCCGCCGCGCCGTCGCCAACAAGATCTCCTGCATCGGATGGGTACGTACAAATACCAATACCAGCTCCGCTCAACTGCCGGTGTTGACTGACTGACGCGCTCGGTTTGGGACGCAGGACCCGGAGGGCATCCTGGCGCCGCCGCAGCCGGGCCACATCTCGCGCCTCGAGTTCCGGCGCCGCCTCGACAGCGACGCCGACGCGCGCGCCGCCTTCGACCTCCAGGTCAAGGAGGAGCAGGAGCGCCGCCGCAAGGAGCGCGAGGTACGGTAATTCATTCATCAATTGCCATTCCGTCGAGCACGCCCCATGTGTACGTGGCCGGCCTGAGCTGAAAGCTGACGAGATGACACTGGCATGGCCGCGTGAGTGCAGGCGCGGGTGATACCTGAGACGGACGCCGGGCTGGTGGAGTTCTTCCTGGACACGGACGCGCGGGAGATCGAGATCGAGATCGGCAGGCTCCGCCCCAGGCTCAACAAGGGCTTCTTCGACCACATCCAGCGGGAGATCGCGCAGATCAAGTTCGCGGTCACCAGGACAGCGGTCTGTACTGCCAACTATCTTCAGCTCCCTGCTTCCTCTGCTCTTGCCTCTTGAGTGTGTGGTAAAATTTGTTCCAATTGATTAATTCCAGCCTGATTTTGATTTCTTCCGTGTGTGCGCGCAGGCAAACAAAGACAGGCTGATCGAGCTGGAAGCGATGCAGAAGGTCATCGGGGAGGGAGTCGGTCGGTGAACAAAATCTTACCTCCATGAAACTTCCTGCATAGTCCAAACTTAGGTAGATCACTTCTGTGTATCTGTAACTGCTGTCCTTGCTGATGATGCAGAGGCCTACGACAAGCTGCAAAACGACCTCGTGACGGCCAAGGAGCGGCTCACCAACATCCTGCAATCCAAAGATAGGAAGAAAACTGTACGAACTGAAACAACAAGAGCTCAAAATGCTGTCACTTAACTGGCATATGTATGTATGAACCTGCTGGGTTTTTGTAATTGTGAATTGTTGTTGCGCAGCTGCTCGACATGGTCGAACGGAACGAGCTCAACATGTCCATATTGACGCTTCTTGACGAGAACATAGCGAGCGCCAAGACGAGTAACCAGGTGATGTGCTGCCCCTGACCTTTATAAGGAGAACCTAATAAATTAGCAATGCTTTGGATCTCTGATCCTGTACTTACTATTGTTCTAAACTTGTGTGTTTGTATTTACTTTTCAGGAGGAGGCTGTGGCTTTCATGGAGGATGTGCGCTCATCTATGCTGAAATACATAACAGTATAAATTTTGCCTACATATGGCGGTCACCAGTTATCTCTGCTCTGGTACTGGAGTCGTCTTCGCCACATAATTGTTCGAATTAATTCGATGGAGCTGTAACTCACAAGGCCATCATGTGTGTTGTAATTTTGTTTCGGTTGTATTTAGTTGTTGTGTTTCATATATGTTGCAATTGTCAGTAGCTTTATTGGCAAAGAGGAATTGTAAAGATCATATATATACCTTTACGGCTGTACAACAGATAAATACAACAAGACTGATCCGCTTTCCCGGTTTATCTCTCGTACATTGACATGGTTTGCTGAATCTGCTGGCGTTTTATATATTACAGTGAACATGTAAATAGGTACCACCTCTGGAACTAAATATAAGACGTTTTTGCATGCAGTTCAAAGTATATAATATTGTGGCACATAACAACTTGATGATTTGTACGGCCAACCAGTATACATCTGGATAATATGGAATTAAAAAGGATGGCAGTAACTAAGAGAACCTTTCACACATAATACTGATTATTAAGTGCTACAAAAGGTCAGAACACAGTTACACCAAATTCAGCCACTATTCTCAACAGACACAACCGGTCGAACGGATTTATTTAGCACAAGGTACATAACTTGTGAATACCAGATGAAATGCGAACACAAACACAAAAACAAGCAACACCGGTAAGGCAGGCGGCAACAGAAGCTCAGAGTGTCTCACTTGGCCGAAACCATTAGTTGCCTGCTGCCGGCTTGAAGTCGATTATGAGGACTTTCTCCGTTGAACCCAAGAAATCAGTTGCAAACTCGACGTGTGCTGGGTGGTAAACGTACTCCCTGACTCCCTCTGTGCTTTCGAAGGTGGACTCGAAGACGTGCGTGAACCCGTCATGCAAGTTCTCTATGCTCACATCGGTTCCCCTGCATGCCAAAGAAAGAACACAAAATTGATGTTTCAGCTTTGCAAAAATGAGAACAAGCTGAAAACTCGTGATTTTCCGACAGGTGATGATAGCTTTGTTTCAAGGTTGGTATGATTTTCTTCGACATATGGGCGCATTTGAGGGCATAATGTAAACTGGCAGACACGAGTTGTTGTGCCATTGTGAGGGGGAAGCTTCGATTCGTTCTTTGTTGCGAATGAATAAGTCATTGCCATGCCAACTCAATATCACCAACAAAAACATCATAAATCAAACCACATGAAGCTAAATGTTGAAGATGTTCTGTCAGGACATTTGTAACATGCGAGATGCTTCAGTAGTTTGCATTGGCTGGATCAGCTTTACTTGTTCGTTTTACTAGTGCTTGTTCCCCTGTTGGATCGAAGAAAAATACTAGCTGGTTTACTACTTGAATCCGTCATTTTAAAGCAATCAAATGGCTTCCAAGCCAGCGGCCGCACAGGGAAGAATCACAGCCCGGGCAGGCAATTCGTCGAGCACCTGCCGGGCGCGGTCCGAGCAGCTACCGCAATAGCTCAGCAGGGAACGGCAGGGGCAGGAAGGTGCGAGAATCGACAGGGGGGTTGGTGGCAGTGAGATCAGCTGCCGTACCAGTGGAAGGCCTTCATGGAGGGGACCTTGTCGACGAGGCCGGCGTAGCCGCGGATGAGGCCAGCCAGCCGCTCCGGCGTCACGTCCTCCTTGAACTTCACGATGACGAGGTGCTTCACCACGCCGCCACCGCCGCTCCCCGCACCGGCCGCCGCAGCCATCGTCAGTCCCGGCTTGTTTGTGCTGCTGGCCGCCTCTGTGCAGTGCACCGCCGTCTCCTCTCCTCCCCGCTTGTTTGCTCGGCGGTGGTGTGGTTTCTTGGTGTTGGTGAGCTTCTTGTCCGGCCACCGCTTTATACAGGCAGTTTGCCCTGGAGCGGATGGTTTGAGTTGACTAGCGTGTAGTGTTATTTCACCCAAGTGGTGAGCGGATCTGGGATTCGTTCTGGGGTTGGTGGCGACGGAGAAGAAAGAAACAAGATGAGTGGCGGATCATCGATCGTGGCATCATGGCATGGGCACCACTCGCCGCCCACGAGTGAGTGTGAACAACAATTCTTTTTCCGGGATAAGGACTGTGAGGGGATCCGATACAGTTCGCTGACATTTTTGTATTTTTCTTTAATTAATAATAATGTAACTAGCAAATGCGCACGTGCAACGCACATTGATATTTAGCCAATATATTAATTACACGCGGATATTAGATATGCTATTGTTTGTGTGTTAATCCTGTGATTAATGCAATATTCGGTATGATATTCATTGCACCGTTAAACACGTTTAACGCTTGCCATTGAAGCAGTCTAGGTCGCTGGATTGACTTAGTTCGATGGACGAGATTAGTTGAATATGCCCCTTTGTTTTTTTATAGTGGTATACAGTGGCGGAGCGAGCGCCTAGCGACCCTGGGCAGTTCCCAGGCTCGCTGGCACTCCGACGGCAACAGTGGTCGTACCACAATACGTGAACGGAGTGTATTTACCCGAGCAAAACTGGATTAGGCCTCCTTCATAGCCCAGTCCAGTTATTTACTAGAACATCCCGATCACTCCAGCCCACTAGAAAAAAAAAGACCATCGATCGCTTCGCTCCAGCCCACGAGGCAACAGGGAATACCATCGATGGCTCCAGAGTCCAGACAGTTCTCGGCTTCTCGCGTACTCGCGTCTCTTCGGTTTCTCCCAGGTGCGGCAGGGGCTTGAAGGCGAGGCGGCGAGGCGGCGATCTGGGGCTGGGTGAGCGGCAGGCCGACGGCGAGCCAACAGTGGCCACGGTCATCCCTTCCTTTGTCCCTTCCTCTCCTGAAGGCTGGGGCAGTTCCTTTCCTTCGACTTCCGGTAAGATCGCCTACTTAATAACTGATTCGGGTTGAGATATTGATGTACTTAGGGCTTATTTAGGAACTTTTGATTGGGGACGATTATGACCAAAGTCCAAAGAGAAAATCTATTTGTTAGCTGTTGGAAACTACAGAAACTGCAAGTTCATTAGACTGACAAACTAGTATGCAGGTTGCAGACTCTTTCCTCTAGTAATTTTAAGAAATATTTCACCGATTTCACTTTGGCAACATCAAGAAATACTTGATAATCTGATACATGTAGTTGATGCAAGTAGCTTTGTTATTGTACTGTACTATGAACTTGTGATTAACCCATATTCTTATTTGTGTAAAAACTAACTTCAGATTTTTTACTCACTAAATTTCAGAGATGAGGAGGTTTTTGGTTAAGAGAGCAAGGACTGAAAATATGAATGATGTGCAACCTGAAGTAGAAGTAGAGCAAAGGACTGAAAATGTGAATGATGCGCAGCCTGAAATAGAAGTAGAGCCACCAGCGCCTAACGTTGCCAATGAATTTAATCCAAATGCGATTGAGCGCGATCCGGGAAAGAGGAAACAAATTTGTGAGTATCCTCCTGATATTCAATACCAAGTGAGGAGAGCATATATATTGAAGGGTCCAATGCAACCAGATTTGAATAAATACCATCATACTGAATTTGGAAGTTCGCGTTCCTCAAGAGCATTTTCCAAATCTTGGTATAAAAGGTACGACTGGATAGAATACAGTGAGTGGAAGAATGCAGCTTATTGTTTTTATTGTTTTCTCTTTAAGCAACCCGGAAGGGCTGAGCACTTTGGTTATGAAGTCTTCACCAAAGAAGGATTTACAGATTGGAAGCATGCATCTAAAGGCTTCAAAGATCATATTAGTGGTCATGGTAGTAGGCACAACTCTTGCGTCAAGCATTATGATGATTATAATAATCAAAGACAAAGTGTGGCAAGTAACTTTGCTAGATCAAGCAAGGAATCAGAAGAAATGTATAAGATTCGTTTAACTTGTTCTGTAAGTTGTTCAATATATCTCATTGCACAAGGCTTGGCATTCCGTGGACATGATGAATCAGCTACTTCTCTAAACAAGGGAAACTTTAGAGAGATGATAGATTTGGAAAAAAACTAAGAATGAACAAGTCAGAGATGCTTTTAACCGTGGTGGCAGAAATTGCACAATGACATGTGGTGACATTCAAAAGGAGCTTGCAATGTGTTGTGCACATGAAGTTAGAAAGAAGATCATGGTAGAGCTTGGTGACAAACAATTCTCGGTGCTTATTGATGAATCACGTGATATATCTGTGAAAGAGCAAATGGCTGTGATGTTGAGGTTAGTAGTTTCACTTTTATTTTGTTGTTTGTTTGTCATTTATTCTCTATGCAACCAACTGACATTATTGTGTTTTCCTATAGGTTTTTGAATGACAAAGGGAGGGTTGTGGAAAGATTCCTTGCTTTGCATCATGTCAAAGATACGACGTCCGAGTCACTAAAGGATGCTCTTTATGGCATTCTTGATCATTATAAGTTATCAATTTCAAGGATACGGGGTCAAGGATATGATGGGGCTTCAAATATGAGAGGTGAATTTAATGGTTTGCAGAAAAAGATCATAGATGAAAACCCCTATGCTTTCTATGTTCATTGCTATGCTCACCGTCTGCAATTGGTGGTCGTGTCTGTTGCTAGTAGTTGCTCATCTATTCATGATTTCTTTGAGTACATCTCCTTGATTGTGACTACAACAACAACATCTTGCAAGAGAAGGGATGCATTGACCGAGGCACAACACCAAGATATTCTGGATAGACTTGAGAGTGGTGAGATATCTACTGGAAGGGGCTTGCACCAATCATCTACTCTTTCTAGACCGGGGGATACTAGATGGGGTTCACATCATACTACCTTACTGCATTTGGATCAAATGTGGTCCTCCGTGTTAAAGGTGCTTAGTACAGTTGATGAATATGGACGTGGACCATCTCAAGCAGCAGGTTTGATAGAAAAAATGGAGAGCTTTAAATTTGTTTTCATTCTGAAGCTTATGTTGAAGTTATTTGGCATCACAAATGAGCTTTCAAAAGTTTTGCAAAGAAAAGATCTCAATATTGTTCTTGCCATGGAATTAGTTAATGATGTCAAGGCTCGGTTGGCAACGTTCAGAGAGAGTGGTTGGGATAATTTATTTGGTGATGTCCAAGAATTTTGTGGTGCTAATAGTATTCTAGTACCAAATATGGACGAAGTAATACCAGTTCGTGGTCGTTCAAGGAGAGAAGGGAGAACTGTTACTAATCTTCACCATTACCGTGCAGAGATTTTTTATGTTGCTATTGACAAAATTTGTGTGGAGATGGATCACCGCTTTAGTGAAGAAGCAAATTGTGTGCTTGATTGCTTCTCATGTCTTGACCCCAAGGACTCTTTCTCCAAGTTCAATGTTGATAAACTTGCTCGTCTTGCTGAAATTTATCATGAAGACTTCTCTAATGATGATCGTGGAACAATAAGAGAGTAGCTCCTCACTTATATAAGTCAAGTGAAAAGGCATGCTTCTTTTTCTACTTGTGATGATGTTCAAAGTTTGGCCGTGAAGATCGTTGAAACTAAGAAAAATCTGGTATTTCCATTGGTATACAAACTTATTGAGTTGGCTTTGATATTGCCGGTGTCAACTGCATCTGTTGAGAGAGCATTTTCAGCAATGAAGATTATCAAGAATAAATTGCGTAGCAAGATCAACAACGAATGGTTCAACGACTTGATGATATGTTACACCGAGCGGGAGTTATTCAAGTCAGTTGATGATAAAGATATTATTCGAACATTTACAGCAATGAAGTCTCGGAAAGGACATTTGCCTCGTGATTTTCTTTAGCACACTATTGGTACGTTCCATCTAACCTTTTCTATTGTTACAAGCTCTCTGTTTTGAATAAATAAACAAATCACAACACTGAATTTTTGTGAAAAACAAATTCATTTTCTTATCCTGTAGTGTCTTCTAGGATATATTGATGGTGTCATGGTGAGGATATATTGATGGTGTCATGGTGATTTAGACGGCTACACTTTTGTTGGCAAGATGGCTAGTTTGGCTGATTGGCTCTATGCCATTTGCTATCTGAAATGGAATATTGATATATTAGTTCGCTTAAATATTACATTTGTCTGACTGTTATGTTCGTATTTTCACTTCAATATTAATGTGGATTTGTGCTTTGCAAGTTTGATGCATAGTGTATATTATCTACCAGGTACGAATTTTTTTATTTGCATGTTAGACATTCAGGCTTAAGTTTGCCCGGGCTTCACAAAAGTTCTGGCTCCGCCCCTGATGGTATAGATAAATCAGTTTGCTGAATTTTGTTTGTAGCTTCCTGCCGTAAACATGTAAATGGGCAAAAAAAATACTTGTGGAACGGCGTGCTCGCATCCACTCTCTGACTCTCCTCGTCGACGCCAAGGAAGCCGTGAGGACGCCTTCTTCTCTATGCTATGTCGGGGTCCTCGATCGAGCCTGTTTGGCGTCTTGACCTCATCTGCTTCTATGATGGGCTCCCCCCTTCTAACGAGGAACTCTGTGATTCTTTCATTGTCTTGTGGATTGGGAGCTCCCCCGGGATTTGACGTCTTCGTTCAAGCTGCATGTTCAAACAGACATTCCTTCCGAGATGGGGTCGAAAATATTGAGCAGATCAAACAGGGGCACACAACATGATGTTTTCGAAGAAGTTTGGAGTGCTTGCTCCTAGCTCCTTCCGCTCTATCTCACTCCAAAATGCTAGTGTCAAGGGTTTCAGAAAAAGGGTTGATGAACAGGTTGTAGCCGGAAAGTCATGACTCTCATTGACCTAGACTAGACAGGCTTCATCAGATGGAGGAACATGTGGCAAAATTTCTTCTACGCCTCGGAGGTCTTCCAACCCTATGATATATGCAACGCTCCCACGCTTGTCATCAAGCTTGACTTCGCCAAAGCATTCAACTCGATGATATGGGAGAGCTTCTTCAACATCCTCAATGTTTGAGGTTTCTTCTCCAAGTTGATATGTTGGGTTGCCAAACCATAACCTCCGCTAAGAGACTTTGGTCCTAACTCCTATCTCTAATGGTCGAAGTTAAAACACACGTCTGATGCTTGAACGAAATGGAAATGCAGATTCTGTTGTTTGATGAAAAAAAAAGCCCATACATGATTTTGGTTATAAGTCCTATGGAAAATTGAAATACCTGAACTATTTAAAACATTTAGGAGTATAGTAGCACCAAATTGTATTCTGAAAAAGAAAAATAGTTCCACCAAATTCAACCATCATTGTCAACACAAGTAGAAGGCTGGACAGATTTATTTAGCAGAACGTACATGTCCCTGTGAATACCAAATGAAATTCAAATACAAATACAAAAAAATATCACCGAGGGCGAGAGCAGAAGCTCGCAGAGCCTCACTTTGCCGAAATCACTACTAATTGGTAGCTGCCTGCTTGTAATCCATTATTAGCATCTTCTCCGCCAAAGCCAAGAATTCATCTACAAACTCTACATGCGATGGGTGTGCAATGTACTCCTTGACTCCCTCTGCGCTTTCAAAAGTGGACTCGAAGACGTGCGTGAATCCTTCGTGCGTGTCCAGTACGGTCACATCAGTTCCCCTGCATACCAAGCAGAGAGATAGAACATTGACATAGTATGAACTTTGCACAAGAAAAAAAAGGGGGGGAATCGAGAAGAAACTTGTGGATGTTGCACGCGTGGTAATGGGATCCGCTGGATCCGCCCGTTGAATCCAAGAAAAACAGCTCGTTTGCTACTTGAATCCGTTCTTTATAAAACTATAATCAACAGCTCACCATGGGGGCCGAGGCAGAGAGGTGTACGACAGTATGCAAGAATTGAGTGGGAGGATATATTCACCAGTGAAACGTCTTCATGGAGGGGACGGCGTCGACGAGGCCGGCGTAGCGGCGGATGAGCTGGTCCAGCGCCTCCGGCGTCGCCTCCTCCTTGAACCGCGCGAGCACGAGGTGCTTCACCACGCCGCCGCTCCCCGCAGCCTCGGCCATCGATCTCTGCTCTGCTTCTTGCCGCTGCTGCCTCTGTAACCTCTGCTTTCTTCCCCGCTGGTTCGTCGGTGGTGCAGATCTTGTTATCCAACCACGCTTGACGCTTGTATATAGTTGGTGGAGTAGTTGACGGTTGGCACTTCTTAAACAGACACTAATGATCACCTAACTTGCGGTCTACGCGGCCAGCCGTAGGGCCATACGCAACAAGTTCAGCAAGCTCGTGCTTGCACGAGTCCAGCTTCTTGTTCAGCTGCCCATGCTCGACGTGTTAACTCTTGTGAATCCTTTCAAGTTTGTTAGGGCATGTACAACGCGGGCGCTTAGGCCAAGCCCTCACAATTAGGAGCCCTGCTCCGGTGCTCCCCCCTAACCTAATTTCGGAGGGGTATTTTTGTCCCCGCGAATTTGTTTTTTTCCTGGCCCGCCGCAGCCCAGATTCAAGCCCTGTCTAGCCCTGTATAATCCAGACTGTATACGTACAGTACCCTGTTCTGAAAAAAAAAACATAGATACGACCCCATGTCCACGTAAGACCTGCCGATTCCAATCATTCACGCGAGCAGCTCCATTAATCTCGCGAGCATTGACGCAGCTCCATAAGTAGTAGATCTCCACCGGCGGCTATCTTGTCGCCGGCGATCTCGTCGGACAGCGGGCGCGACAACGTCGTGAATCTCCAACGATCACGCACAGGTACCGCATCCCACGTCCCCCCTCTAGTCTCGCTCGCGGCAACATCGAACGAACTGCCGCCGCGCCAGTGGCAGTGGTTAACCTAGCTACCCGGCGGCGCATGCGATCGTGGATCTTGTTCCGATAGTGCTGCTCCTCGTGATCTGGGTTCATGTAGCGTCGGTTGCCGTCGGCTGTGCGCACCACCAGTATCGTTATTTGATGTGGCGGCTAACCTAGGTATCCGGCGGCAGAGGTAATCACAGATCTAGCTAGGTTTTGAGATCGTGCAGTTCCTCGCGATTGAAAGTGATCACGACGGGTGCCGTGGCCATCTTCCTTACTAAGTTTGGTAGATCTGAATGGCCTCGGTTGCGGTTGTTTACATAACATCTGTGATCGTGTGCTATGTGTTTTATATTTCATCATTGATAATGTTTGCACATGTGATGATACATATTATTGGTTGTAGGAAATGGCGGAAGAGGAGTTAACTGATATCATGGTAGACATGGAGTTTGGAGAACTGATGAAAGACTGGATAGAAGATTGGTCAGATGATGAAAATTCAGATCGTGAAGATCGGTCAGAGAATGGGAACGAATGGGACGATCTTAATGTGAGTGGCATTGTCATGTTGTAATTTTTTGGTGGCATCTGACAATACTAAATCTTTGTGTTGAAAATTTATAGATCCATGAGCTTGATGATGATCAGGAAAACAACTCGGAGCTCTCGAATGAAGATTACATTAGTCAGGTACGTAAGTGAAAATTTTTGTTGGCATGCAAATCGAATTTCTTCTGGAAGATTATATGATAAGTAATTATGAATTTGTGTTGTATTTTTCAGTTCATTTCCGAATGTCATAATGCGTACGACTATTACGGTGAATCCGACGCGGAGACATGCCTTAACGACGAATCATTAGATGCACCTGGTTCTGGGGAGTCCGAGTCGTCGGTCATCATGAGTGAGGTATGTTTGTAATCAATGTTCTATGGAAGTAAGTAATGTTAAACCATAGAAATCTGTTTTCATGGCTGAGATTTGATTGTGTAGGTGACACAAGATGATGGTGCAAAGAATGTCCAAGATACTGCCAGTGCAGATGATAAGAGGGATATGTTCATGCAGATAATGGAAATGACCTTTACGTCTCACGATGCTGCGTATGATTTCTACAACAGCTATGCTAGAGATAATGGTTTCAGCATTAGAAAGAATAAGGTCAAGTATAGCAAAACAGAGTCACGTCATATGCGTTATAGGCAGTTTGTTTGTTCAAGACAAGGGAAACGTGACAGCAAGTTGCTAACCGAGGAAGGACACAGCCGTAGGCTCAGAGCCGAGACACGCTGCTTTTGCGAAGCGCACCTGACCGTCAAGCTTGACCAAAAGCGTGGGGTTTGGTATGTTGAAAGTTTTGAGGACACGCATAGCCATATGTTGGTAGGGCCGGACGAGGTACCTTTTCTTTGGTCCCACAGAAACATCAAAGAGTACCAGAAGCATGCCATAATGTCCATGGGAGCTGCAGGGATTAGAATTCATGACATGATGGATTGCTTCATCAGCAAGCATGTATGGTACGGCGGTGTTGGTTTTACCAGGCGTGAAATATACAACCTTTGCGCCAAGGAGAAGAGGAAGCTGCTTTCAAAAGGTGATGCTGCCACAGCCATAGGCATCATGGCCAGTAGGAAACAGAGGGATCCTAGCTTCTTTTTCGAGTACAGGCTAGATAAGGAAGGACATTTGAATAGGATGTTCTGGTGCGACTCCCAGTCTCGTCATGACTATGAGGACTTCGGCGACGTGCTTGTATTTGACAGCACGTACAAGATGAACCGCTATGGTATGCCATTCATACCTTTTGTTGGTCTTAACAATCACCGGAAGACCACTGTTTTTGGTTGTGCCATAGTTTCAGACGAGACCGAGGAGACATACGTGTGGCTTTTGCAGACGTTTTTGAGGTCCATATGTCAAAAGATGCCTAAGAGTGTAATCACAGATGCCGACGCTGCGATGATCAAGGCAATTCGCAAAGTCTTGCCAGACGTGTGGCACCGTATATGTACGTGGCACATAGAGAAAAATATGAAGATTCACCTCAGTCACAAGTCCTTGAAGGAGTTTCGAACTCTTCTGTACTACAGCACGTCCACGGCAACGTTTGAGGAGAGATGGCACGCATTTTCCAAAAAATGGCAGTCGGAAAAAACTGTAACATGGTTGAGGCGGATGTATAAGAAGAGAAGACTGTGGGCCGCGGCATATCTAACAGAGGGGTTTTGGCTTGGCATGAAAAGCAACCAACGGAGTGAAAGCCTGAACTCATGCCTTCACCTCCACCTAGACGGTGAAATGACCCTGGTGGATATGATTTTGCACTATGAGAACGCCGTTGTGCGTATCCTGAAAACGAGGCGCGAGATGACTACACGGCCTCACAGAGTTTACCAGTGCCAGTTACTAGCTCGAGGGAACTTGAGATAGCTGCTTCTCACGTCTTCACTCCAGCAAACTTCTATATGTTGAAGGATGATCTTAGAAAAATTGACGGCATGGAGATTGTAGAAATTAAGCTGGGAGACGGATCACAGTAGTACATCGTGGCCTGGAAGAATAACCGGAAGCGCCGGTTTTGGGTGGAGTATACACCAGTAAATTCCGCAGAAACTATAAGGTGCAGCTGCAGAAGAATGATTCGAAAGGGTCTACCTTGCAAGCACATATTGTTGGAAATATGCCCTAGAGGCAATAATAAATTAGTTATTATTATATTTCCTTGTTCATGATAATCGTTTATTATCCATGCTAGAATTGTATTGATAGGAAACTCAGATACATGTGTGGATACATAGACAACACCATGTCCCTAGTAAGCCTCTAGTTGACTAGCTCGTTGATCAATAGATGGTTACAGTTTCCTGACCATGGACATTGGATGTCGTTGATAACGGGATCACATCATTAGGAGAATGATGTGATGGACAAGACCCAATCCTAAGCCTAGCACAAAGATCGTGTAGTTCGTATGCTAAAGCTTTTCTAATGTCAAGTATCATTTCCTTAGACCATGAGATTGTGCAACTTCCGGATACCGTAGGAGTGCTTTGGGTGTGCCAAACGTCACAACGTAACTGGGTGACTATAAAGGTGCACTACGGGTATCTCCGAAAGTGTCTGTTGGGTTGGCACGAATCGAGACTGGGATTTGTCACTCCGTGTGACGGAGAGGTATCTCTGGGCCCACTCGGTAGGACATCATCATAATATGCACAATGTGATCAAGGAGTTGATCACGGGATGATGTATTACGAAACGAGTAAAAGAGACTTGCCGGTAACGAGATTGAACAAGGTATCGGGATACCGACGATCGAATCTCGGGCAAGTGTCGTACCGATAGACAAAGGGAATTGTATACGGGATTGATTAAGTCCTTGACATCGTGGTTCATCCGATGAGATCATCGTGGAACATGTGGGAGCCAACATGGGTATCCAGATCCCGCTGTTGGTTATTGACCGGAGAGTCATCTCGGTCATGTCTGCATGTCTCCCGAACCCGTAGGGTCTACACACTTAAGGTTCGGTGACGCTAGGGTTATAGAGATATTAGTATGCGGTAACCCGAATGTTGTTCGGAGTCCCGGATGAGATCCCAGACGTCACGAGGAGTTCCGGAATGGTCCAGAGGTAAAGAATTATATATAGGAAGTGCTATTTCGGCCATCGGGACAAGTTTCGGGGTCACCGGTATTGTACCGGGACCACCGGAAGGGTCCCGGGGGTCCACCGGGTGGGGCCACCTGCCCCGGGGGGCCACATGGGCTGTAGGGGGTGCGCCTTGGCCTATATGGGCCAAGGGCACCACCCCTAAGAGGCCCATGCGCCAAGAGAAGAGGAGAAAGGAAGAGTCCTAAAGGGGGAAGGCACCTCCGAGGTGCCTTGGGGAGGATGGACTCCTCCCCCCCCTTGGCCGCACCCTTCCTTGGAGGAAGGGGCAAGGCTGCGCCCTCCCCCTCTCCCTTGGCCCTATATATAGTGGGGGGAAGGGAGGGCAACCATACCCAAGGCCTGGCGCCTCCCTCTCCCTCCCGTGACACATCTCCCTCCTCCCGCAGCGCTTGGCGAAGCCCTGTTGGAATCCCGCTACTTCCACCACCACGCCGTCGTGCTGTTGGATCTCCATCAACCTCTCCTCTCCCCTTGCTGGATCAAGAAGGAGGAGACGTCGCTGCTTCGTACGTGTGTTGAACACGGAGGTGCCGTCCGTTCGGCGTTAGGATCATCGGTGATTTGGATCACGACGAGT